GGGAGAGTTTTCCACTTTTCAGCATTAGATAAGCCAAAACTGATGAATAAAGTCATAAAAATATGGGAAATAAACCAATGAATAATCAAATTGATGGTGAAACTCATGCGTAATCATGATGGGTCTAAATCACTTATTATTTCTGACAAGTACATTAGATCTACTACTTCGAACAACTCATAGAACGTTGGTGGAGAATTTTGTAAATTGACTCTACTTAAGGTACTATAATGTTGTAGAATGCTATACAATGCCTTTCCTAGATCTAGGTTGAAAATCAGTTTTGTGAGTCCACTGTATTTGTAAAAAATCTAGTTAGTTAAAGTTAGGGTCGGATTTGGTACAGGTCAATGAAACTTTTCTTGATTACATTTCATATCACTTTCTGTTTTTTATTATATTTCGTATCATTTTATGTTATTCTAACATTTTCTTAACTTTTATATTGACTAATTTACATATATCTCTTTTTCTATCATTTATAATTTATTTGCTAAAGATAAAATAAAAAATAAAAAATAAAAGATTTCTCTCTCTCTCTCTCTCTTATTTTCCTCTAAGACTATCTCCAATGGCTAGTTGAATAAAATTATTCAACTATTTAATTAATGCAATAGGAAGTTGAAACAATTGTTGAAAATGACGTGACTTCAATTTTGTTGAAACCATTCAACTAATTGAATGTTACTGATTCAGCAAAAAAGTAGGAAAAAGTTGAAGATTTGCCGAGATAAGAAAAAAATTGAAAACATGTGGTATATAATTGGTTGGTTAAAAAAAATAGTGTAAGAATGAAATCAAGACAAAGACATTTGTTGTGTTGTTATTGGTTGCTAAGATTTTTCACTTTTTTCTCTTATCCAGATTATTCAATATCAATTATTTGGTCGTAAATTATTTTTTTTTAACAAAAAAAAATTATACCAAAATTCATCATTTTTCATATTCTATAAATAGAGATTTGGTTTATTTAATATGGATAACAAAAAACTCATATTTTTACTATATTTTTCCTATTAGCATCTAGTAAACTCTTGCTATATCTTTTATCCTTTTTTTTTTAATAATCTTTTTAACACCCAAAATTCTAATAACTATCCTTTTAACTACCCAAATCCCAACAATTATCAATTTTAAAATCAATCTTCCAACCAATCCCAAAATATACCAAATTATGGTTTTGCGCCAATTTTTTTCATGCCATCAGCTGTTCAAACTATCGTCCATATTATGGATCGATGATGCCATATCTATCTCAAACACCTCCTTATTCTTCTACTCCAACGAGTAAAGAAATTGTATCCAATATTGGAGCAATTGAATTTCCCGAATTTTCTACACAAATGGCCGTTGGTGGTATGAGCGGTGTTAATGAAGCCACTGCAGATGCAGAGGATTCAACTCCTATCCGCCGATAAAGTCCCAAACGGACCACTGAACAAAATTTGGTGTTACTGAGTGGGTGGATTAAATAAAAAACATACAGCGTTGTTGGCAGAAACCAAAAAGGTGAAGCATATTGGGGTAAAATTGCAGATTACTGTAGTGAGCATTGTTCATTTGATCCTCCACGTGATAGAGCTTCGTGTAGAAATCAATACAACTGCATGAACAAAATATTGGCAAAATGGATTGGCGCTTACGATAACGCTAAGCGTATGCAACAAAGTGGGTGGTCGGAGAATGATGTATTGGCGAAAGCACATGAACTATATTCAAGTGTTAAAAATGGAAATTTCAGTTTGATGAAAGAATGGGTCGGTATCCGTGATCAACTACGTTATGGTAGTCAAGTAGGAGGAAATACCGTTCTGAAAGTAGTGGATCTAAGAGAGCTCACGAGAGTGATGCAAGTGACTCCAAATCTGTAGGATCTAGTGCTCGTCCAATGGGGAGGGATGCTGCTAAAAAGAAAGGTAAAAAAAAATGTAAGGGAGCATCCTTGAAGGTGGTCAACGAAGAATGAAATGATTTCAAACAATTCAAGGAGCAAGAGTTAGAAAAATTGGAGAAAATAGCCATGAGGCAAAAGGAGGCAAACCAACTGATGAAAGAAAATACTCACACTAAGAAGATGAAGATGTTTTTGAAGTTAAGTGAAAAATAATATCTCGATGATCGTTGCCAAAAGTTGTTGGATCAGTAGAGTCGAGATCTGTTTAAAAATTAATTGTCGACAAGTGTCTGTTTGTATTTTGTCATTTTCTGCTTTAATAATGTGTGCTTGTCATTTTTCTCTTTTAATAATGTTTGTTTGTCCCTTTCTATTTTAGTGGTTGTCAAGTCTTTGTCTGTAATCCGTGTCTTTCGACTTTTAATGAGAAAATCCAATCCTTGTCTATTACGTAGCTGATTCCATTTTCTATTTCGAATCTGTGTATTTCAAACACTCAATTTCTTATAAATAGAGACTCCTGTTTCCATTAATGTACCAATACCATAAATCTCATCTTACAAAAAATATCAATAGATCCATCAGAATTTTCTTTTGATATCGAATCATACAAAAGGCAGTCTGAAATTGAAGAGAGGTACATCGTCAACCGGTTTACGGAGTGCCAAAATAAAATAGAGGAAGACTATCCACCTTGTCTCAAGGGAAAATACTTCAAGAGAGATCATGCAGCAGCAAACCAAAGACTGATTGACGACTACTTTGCCAATCAACCTACATATGATGAAGCAATGTTTCGTCGCTGATTCCACATGCAAAAACATGTTTTCCTTCGTATTGTTGAGGACCTATCAAGAAGTGACAACTACTTCACCCAACGAGTTGATGCAGCCAATAAAGAAGTTATATCTCCATTAGCAAAATGTACCACTGCCTTGCGAATGTTAGCATATGGTATGGCGGCCGATGCGGTTGTACATCAAGTTAGAAGAGACTACAGCATTGGATTGTTTGCGTAGATTCTGTAAAAGAGTCATACAACTCTATGAGCAAGTGTATCTCAGTGATCCGAATCCAGATGACCTACAAAGATTTTTTTATGTTAGTGAGATACGGGGGTACGGTTCCCAGGGATGATTTGGAGTATTGATTGCATGCACTGGGAATGAAAAAAGTCCTTCAGCGTGGCAAGGTCAATTTACTCGCGGAGATAAGGGAACCACCACTGTTATTCTTGAAGCAGTTGCATCTCATGATCTATGGATCTGGCATGCCTTTTTTGGATGTCTGGACACCTTAAAAGATATAAACGTTCTAGACCATTCACCAATGTTCGATGATGTTGAAAAAGAAAATACTCCAAGGGTGAATTTCTTCGTGAACCAGCGTCCATATGATATGACATACTATCTAGCTGATGGTATTTATCCTTCATATTTGACTTTCGTCAAATCAATTAGACTCCCTCAGAGTGAACCGGACAAGTTATTTTCACAATGATATGAGGGAGGACACAAGGATATCAAACATGCATTTGGAGTTTTACAGGTTCGATATAAAATCATTCGCGAACCAGCTCGCATATGGGATATAGCCAATTTGGCTATCATCATGAGGTCATGTATCATATTGCATACTATGATTGATGAGGATGAACGAGATACATATGTTCAAAATTTGACTGAATATGATCAGCCTGAGGCAAGTGGGTCTAGTACACCACAACTATTCTCGACTGAGGTGCTACCTGCATTTGCAAATCATGTGCGTGCTAGATCCGAGTTGCATGATTCAAATGTACATCACGAATTACAAGCAGATTTATTCAAACATATATGGGCAAAATTTGAAAAGTTTAATTATTAAAAAGATGCTAAAGTCTTTGTATGTGATTTAAGAATTTTATTGTTTGTGTTTTTGTGAGAAGAGTTTATTGTACAAATAAGTTATGTGTCTTTATTTAGTTATGTTGTGTGTTTATTCATGTATTGTATTGTATTTTAAGTTTTTCATAATTTTTTTAATAGTAACTAGGTTTTTTTTAATTACTTGAAGAAAAGTTTAATTAAAATGTAAAATAAAAAACATATATTTTAAAATTTGTAATTTGTAAGTATTTTAATTTAATTTATTGATATTTATTATTTATTATTAAATAAAAACAAAAACAAAAACATAAAAAAATATAAAATAAAAGTAGTGGGGTAGAGTGCAGTGGCCGAGGCACCATGTTGGTGGGTGGGTCAAGTGACCCATATGAAATCTAATTCTTTTATATATATTTATGTTTTTTAAAAGAAAAATATGTAAAATATTGATAATTTAGCTAAATGACCCCTATAAAATTTTGTTTAGAATACACTATAAATTAAAACTGATCCTCATAAATTTTCGCTAGCTCCGCCACTGGTAGAATGTTGAATTTTATTAAACAAAACTATTGTAGAGTATAAAAGTTGAATGAGTGTTGAGTTATTAGGTGGAAGTACGAAAAGATGATGTGGAGTATTAAAAGGAAAAAAAAAGAAGGTATTTAATCTTTGGGGTTTTTGCTAAAAATAACTCAAAACTTGACTTTGAATACAAAAGTAGACCCCTGAAAAAATATTTGGCAGAAATAACCTAAAGAGGTAGTGAAAAGACCATTTAATCCTGTATGAGTAAACAAAAAACGGATGTCCTAATTACCGTTTACTCCCTGACGAAGTCTACTAAAGTGAAAATGAAGTCTATTAGTAGACTATTAGTAGATTTCATTTTATCGAATGAAGTCTGCTAAGTAATTAAATCTGTAAATTTAATTTTAAAATTTTTAAAAAATTATTTTGGTATCAAATTTACCATCATAAATTTTGTAATTGTAACCCAAATGTACATAAATTATTTTTTTCATATTGGTAAATGGAAATGTATGTATTTAAATTAAGTAGAAGTAAATTTATTATTTAGGTTTTAAAAGTTGTAGACTTCTATATTGAAGTCTACTAAACCGAATAAATTAACCTAACGGAAATTTAAACCGAAATTAAACCGGAAATAACTTCCCTTAACCAAGAGAAACTGCCTTTAACCGAGTAAATTTACCTAGACCCCAGAAAATTAGTAACCTTAACCGAAAAAAATTACCCGAACCGTACGGAATTACCAGACTATATATACGAATTTAACAGATCCCGTTAAAAAAAAAACCGTCGAAAGTTCGTGTAAAAAAAATGTCGAAGGCGATTTCTGTTTCTCTGCTCCGGAGCCGCCAACATACAGAACCGCCACCGATAAACTCGTTCAGGCAAGTTTTCTTTCTCCAACCACACCCCCATGCTTCCCTACTCCTCCGTATTCATCACCTTTCCGTTTTCGTAACCCCCAGTTTCCAGATCTGAAATTAGGGTTTTTTTTTTTTGCAGATCTGCTTTCGCCGTTGGAGGTTAACGTCATTTACTGCCTCAAAACGGTTAGTAGATGTTGTTCCGAAGTTATATACTTAGCAATTCTTAAATTTCTTCTATCTTCCTGTAATTTTTTTCGTCGGGTTTGACTTAGGTTTTTTTCCCAGATCTGGTTGTATTTTCTCGACGCCAGCTTCATCTAATAAAGGCGGTTAACACTATAAACTTTGTAGATTCCATTTCGATGATTTGTTTTAGTAGACTTCATATACAGTATTTATCATGTATTGATTGCTTCGGTTGGGTTCTGTAGCCTTCATATGCAGTATTTATGATGTTTTGATTGCTTCATATATTGTTTTTTTGATGTTAAGATTGCTTCGGTTGGCTTCAGTAGACTTCTCGACTCGGATTGTACTTAGAATGTGAAAGTAGACTTCATTTTGTGAAAGTAGACTCCATTTTGTGAAAGTAGACTTCATTTTGTGAAAGTAGACTTCTTTTTGTGAGAGTAGACTTCATTTTGGGAAAATAGACTTCATTTTGGGAAAGTAGACTTCATTTTGATAAAGTAGACTTCATTTTGATAAAGTAGACTTCATTTTGAAAATGTAGACTTTATTCGTGTATAGTTTCAAACCGTTACTAGTTTTTCTCATTAGAGCTTTGTTACCGTTGATGCAGGAATATTTGTTAGATAATGGTGGCCTCTGAATTCCTTAGAAGACTTTACACCAAAGGGTTTGAGCCAGCCCCGGATAAAAGCATCGGCTATTATGCTGATGATTATAGGCTGGTCCCTGCGCTAAAGTCAGCTCTACAAGAGGATGAATGGGAAGAGATTTACGAGTCACCGTTGGGTGTCTTTTTAAAGTTCCACGACTTGGATTTTGGTTGGGCTTCTAGGCTGGTGCACCACATGCTGACCTTTCAGATAGTTTGCAAGCAGAGGTACGAGATATGGAGCCTGATTGGTACCACTCCAGTTCGGTTTTCATTGCATGAGTTTGAGGAGATCACCGGACTCAACTGCGGGTAAGTGGATGACTTGGCTTTAACTGATCTTGCGCTTGTCGATGACATGCCTGCATTTTGGGAGCTAATGGGGGTCGATGCCGAGTCGGGCCCAAGCACTACCGAAATTATCGAAGCCTGTTCCAACTGCTCATCATGGTCTCGGGATGATAGGCTGCGGTTGGGTTATCTTGGGATCTATGCTGGTTTCATAGTGGCAACGAGACCTGGCTCATCCACAAATGTCAACCATGCCAGACTAGTGATGGATCTCGAAGGTTTTAAGGAGTTTCCATGGGGAAGAATTGCTTTTCAGCATTTGATCAAGTCTGTTAAGGAGAAAGATCTCAGCAAAAACATTCATATAGAAGGATTTGTGCAAGCTCTTCAAGTGTGGGTGTACTATGCTCTACCGGATTTTGCTGCTGAATTTGGCGAACCATTGCCAAATGTTACTGAAAAACCTCTTTTGCTGGCTTACAAAGGATCAAGAGGACGAAAGAACGTCAAAGCCAACATGCTAAAACAGGTACTGTATTAGTGTAGTAGACTTCTATGTAGTAATGAATTTTCAAAGTAGACTTCATGTGTAGACTTCTATATGTACCATTAATAGTGTTTGACATTCAGGAGTAGACTTCTGTGTTAGACTTCAGGAGTAGACTTCTATGTTAGACTTCAGGAGTAGACTTCATACGTAGTTTTCCGAGGCTTCATATGGCTAGTAATCCATTTACTTATTGTGTTTTTCCAGGCTCGCATACAGTCCTGCGTGGCTAAGGACTTGGCGGATATGTTTCCCGTGTGGGATGATGACGAACAGAATCCAGATATTGTCAAGATTGTCAATGCACTCCATGACCCCAATTTCAAGTTCTCAAAAAACCATTGGCCTTTGGAAGGTGTTTTGGGTGCACACATCGTCAAGTCAGAAGCCGGAAAGAGGAGCCTTCCCTCAGATGAATCAAGTCGCAAGAGACCCTGCACAGCCTCTGCCTCTGCCGCATCATTCGTTGGTGATAAAGGGGTCGGAGTTGTCGCTACTATGAAAGCGCACTTCGACCAATGCTTCTAAAGCTTTTCAACCAAGATGCTGAATGGTCTTGGTAGCTGTGAAAAGCAGATCAAACGTCTCACCGAGAAGATTGAATCTGTAGAGCGTGCGGTAGAAGAGTTGACTACAGGGTCGGTGAAGCACACTGAGGAAGAGCCAACCCAGCAGGGCACTGGATCCAAGAAGCATGAAGGGGTTAGTACCAAAAACCCTCCGCCTATACGAAAACATTACATGCGAACAAGATCACACAAAGTTAGGAACACTTAATACTAATGTCATTTGAATTCGAACATGTTTACTAGTGTTATGTAACATGTGAGATTATTTACTTATGTTTTCAAAACTAGTTGTTTACAATTTTCAGACTATGATAAAACATGTTACTAAATTACAGCATTGGAGAAAGATGATGCTCCGATGAAAGATAATGTCAACATTGGTGTGTGTGAGAGTGTTAACGCCCCCGGAGATGCAAAAGGAAAGAAGGCTGCCGTGAAGGAAGAAGAGGCCCCAGAGATGAAGGAAGAAGAGGCCTCAGAGCCTAGTTTTTGTGAAATTGACCCGAAGACGTGTGATGTTGACTTCGACGCGGTTGCACTAGCCAAAAATGCCAAAGCCAGAGAAGCAGCTCAGATAGTTGCCCGAGCAACGAGTGCCAGACACTGCCAGCTGGCTGCAACACAGAAGAGTCTGCTCTTAGCAAACAGCACCGCAAAGGCCATCATTCCATCGTCGGCATCTCACTCCGGCCGTGTCCGTGGATATGATCCTTTTGATCAAACCCGTGTCAAGGCGAAGCATATCACTCTAATGAACTTTATCAAATCAAACCCGTAAGTAGACTTCTATACGTATGTAAGTAGACTTCCTCATAGTATTATTTCCTATCTAACTCTTTCACTTATACAGTGCCTATCCAAAACGCCCAAGACACTCTTCGATCGAGTGGTATTACATTATCCGGACACCGACGAAATGGCTAGCTGATACGGTTAGTGTTTTACTTTCTCATATTAGACTTCATGTTTAGACTTCATACGTAGACTTCTATAATAGACTTCGTTTACAGGATTTAGACTTCGTTTGCAGACTTCACTCATGTCTTATTTTCACCAATGTGCAGCACATGGAAGCTTACATCAACCTACTCAGGCTGCGATTATCCAAGCTTCCTCAACTCCATGTTTGCTACTGTTTGGAGGCGTGACTACAAAGACTTCAAAAACTCTGAGCCGAATGCAGATGGGTCTGGCAAACTTCTACCGCCTGGAGCATATTCGTACTACACTGGCGAATTACCTATCTACTGCCAGACTAAGAAGATGTGGGCATATGATGTCGACTATTTGTACTCCATGTTGCACATTTGGGAGGACCATTGGGTAGCAATATGGGTCTCATTTGTGACGAAGCATATCTGCCTCATCATCGGTAGAATGTTCTGAATTTTTCTCAGACTCCTCACCTAAATCTTCATCTGATCCTTCCTGGTTCTCCTCAGTATCCATCTCCACTCGACAGGACACACAAAGGTGTAACATATGTACTATGCTTAACGCAATCAAGCTTGAAACTTGTCTATCATTGGTGACATGCATTGGAGGTGTATCTGGAGCCATATTTTGCAACATTGAGACTGGTAGTGCGTAGGTTAACTCGATGATCTCAGTCTTCTTGCCCAAGTTATAATCATCTCGCGCCATTTCAGTAAGCTGCCTTAAGGTGCAACCATCGTTCAAAAACCACATTCTTCCACCTTTGCCCATGTCAACAACAAAATGCCATGAATTCTCCTTAATCTTCCACTCACCGTACACAACTGGAATTTGAGCCATTCTCTGAAAAAATAACCATATAAACTGTATTAGCAAACACTGCATAGAGACTTTTTGTATCAAAGTAGACTTCACGACGAAGTCTACTTTGATAAGCTAAGTACCTTAAAAATCGAAACTTCTGATTCAACAATAAATATCCAATGAAATGGAATAAAAATCACTAGGTATTTCAATTACTAACTAAGAGACAAATATAAACCAAAAAAATTGAAAAATATTTTATAAATTTCCTTAAAACGCGTTTTTACAAAAACATCAAAACATAGACTTCTAATGCAGACGTCGAATGTAGACTTCACGACGAAGTATACTTTTATAAGCTAAGTACCTTAAAAATCGAAACTTCTGATTCAACAATAAATATCCAATGAAATGAGATAAAATTCATTGGGTAGTTCAATCACTTACTAAGAAGCAATTCTGAACCAAAAAATTTGAAAAATAGTTTATACATTTGCTTAAAACGCGTTTTAAAAAAAACATAGTAAAGTAGACTTCTAAATTAGACTTCACATGTAGACTGGAGGAGAAGTCTACTTTTTCATTAAGAAGTCTACTAATGAAGTCTACTAAAAAAAGGTCATTTTTGCAATTGACCAATCTGTTGACTTTTCCTTCAGTAGACTTCAGGAGTAGATTTCAGGCAAAAAAGGTTACTTTAGCATTTGACCAATGCATTGACTAACATACTAGACTTCTATTGTAGACTTCATGTAAGAGTAGACTTCTCTGACAGTCTACTTTTGAAGTCTACTTTTTAAATAGAAGTCTACGGAACAAAATAGGTTATTTTTGCAACTGAATTTTTTTAGTAGACTTCACAATGAAGTCTACTCAAAAAAAAATTCCTTCTAAGTTTGACCGAACACAATAAGTAGACTTCACAAAGAAGTCTACAGTTTGTAGACTTCACAAAGTTGTGAAGTCTACAAACTGTAGACTTCCTTGTGAAGTCTACTGAAGCTTTTTGGAATTTTTTAAATTTCTTAATTTTTGAAAAACAGAAGTCAAACACAAAAATGATCTATACGTTTTTGGTCAAAGTACAAAAGTAACTTGAAAGTAGACTTCGTATGCAGACGTAAACAATAGACTTCAGAAAGAAGTCTAAATCCAAAAGTCAAAAGACGGTCAACTACAAAAATAACATCTTTTTTCGTAGACTTCTTAAGCCTTCAAATGAAATCTACTATGCTTTTTTTTTTTGTTTTCGAAGTATATTGAGTAGACTTCTCGTGAGGTTTAATGAAGTCTACTTTTTAAAAGTCAATTGCAAAAATAACCTTATGTTGACTCATAGACTTCAGTATAGTTCACGAGAAGTCTACTTTCGCGATATAAAAACTGAAATGTGGAGAAATTGAAGTGCGAGGATTACCTTTAACAAAACTGAGCTCCCCTAAGTTTCTCTTATCCACCCAGAACTTAGGATTTCACCGAAATTAAACAACCCAGGTGTCGAGTAACCAGAACTCACCGAAAAAGCATGGCACGAAGCATTGTAACTGTGCCCAGATGTTTTGGAGAAGAATTATGATAGAATGAGCAAGGTTATGAGTGAATGAGCTCAGATATTTGTTTTATTACTGCTTTAAAATTGGTTGATAAGCATTTATTCCATTTTCATGGTTGTTCATGGTGGTTGAAGGTATTGAAGACGATGGCATTCTCGTAATTAAAAAGTCTTTAGAAGGTCCAAGAAGACTTTAGCTAATTAAAGAAAAATCGAATTATTAGATGTATAATGGCATTTTCGTTAATAGTTTAAGTGGAAAGGATAAAATTGTGAGAAAATGGCAAAAGTTGGAGAGAGAAAAAAAAGAAGTTAGTTTGGTGTTTGACTTTGAAATATGGGTTAAATCTGAAACTCTCCCTTAATCTTTTCACAATTGTAGATAGTCTAATTAAAACATCATTTTTTTCTTCTTTCTTCTCTTTCTTCTTTTTCCCCCACTCAAATTATATCCCATATATTTTATTTTACTTATTTCTTTTTATAATAAAATATTTTACATTATCAGTTATATATATTTTATTATCTTTGAAACCCATTTCATAATAGTTTTTTACAAATAATTTGCATTAATAGATAAAACGTACATGTATCCATATAGTTGCGTATACGTAGACGCAGTTACATGGATATGTAGACTTATCCACGCACATATAGTACATGTGGCCGCAATTACATGGATATGTAGACGTATTGACGCAAATATGGTACATGTGGATGCAATTACATAGACATACATGTGTATTCACGTCAATATGGTATACGCGTACACAACCATATGGACACTACAAGAAAACAGAAAATTAACGACTACGTTTTGTGACTGATAACGTAGTCGTTTAATTTTGTGACTATCTACCGACTGAGTAACGACGATATTACGACTTCATACATTTAGTCACCAAACGTCGCTACACAGCGACTAAACATTTCGTCGTCGATTAGTCGCTATTTAACGACGAATCAGCGACTAAATTGTAGTCACTATATATCAGTCGCAAAATAGTCGGTATATTTGCGACTAATTTGCGACATATGCGGCGAGTCGCTAGAACTGAACACGTGTAATACGTTTTTGGGTTGGTGTACTGGTTTTTAGCGATGGACAGTTGGTAGTCACAATATAGTGGCAATTCGGTCGCATTTTAGTAGCAAAATTTTCTATATAATGAAACCACATCTTCGTTCATCCTCATAAGTAAGTGTGCTAGCATTTTGTTAGTTGCACTCTATAAAATTCCTTTAGTTGTAAGATTTATTTCTTACAAAAAAGGTGAAAGAAAAGGAAAGAGTTAAGAAATAACTCTTATATAATCAGTCGCTAAAATGTTTACAAGGTAGTCGTAATTCAGTCGTTACATTTTGCGACTTATTCGCGACTAACATTACACGACCAATTATCGACTCCTATACAGTCGCAAAATAGTCGCAACAAAAACAGTCGTTACTTAGTCGTTAAATATAGCTTCTATTTAGACGACTGATTTTGTACGACTATCCTACGACCAACGTCGAAGTCACTAAATAGACCTAATATCAGTCACTTGTTAGACGTGAAATTAACTACTGATTAACGACTATTTAACGACTAACTACTGTAGCCGTATATCAGTCGCTAATTAGTCAGAATTTAGCGACTAAATTATTTAACAACTAAGTTGTTTAGT